GCCGTCAAGGCGTCTCCGAAGGTTGTGCGTATAGTGTCTGACCATATTTCCCTTGTCCAGGAAGGTCAGAGCTGGTGTGAACGTGAGGCTATGGGCACTGCTCGCCATGCTAAAATCTGGAGAGCGCTCCGAGGCGTGGTTGAGCGGCAGGCCAGGCCCCCTAGTTTCGCTTGGACCCCTTTCTCACAAGACGCTGGAGGCTGTTCTGGATATGGGGGTGGGGGTCCACGCGTGGCTTGGCAACGCGTGGGCGGATTTCTTTGCTTCGGTTGCGTTACATGTTGTCTGTCATAGCCCGAGCTTTCATAAGGCCTTAGAGATACGGCTCTCAGAAGCCACTGCGAATGCTAAGTATGTCTCCTGGGCTGGTGCGCAGATTTCGGGATCGGAGTTCTGGGGCCCTTCCCAGCCTGAGCCTCGGGCCCCCAGGCCTCCTCCTGCGCCTCCGAGGGTTGCCCTGAACCCGCGCCAGCCCATCCAATGCCGTGGAGGAGTGCGTTGCCTGAATTGCAATATCTCGGCTTTTACCACTGAGACTAGGCGTGCAACCGAGTGCCGACCTTGTCTCCCCACTCTGTTGAAGCGGAAGCGTACCGAAGCTCTCCTGCAGACTGAGGGCGTCGCTAGCCCTGCCCCTGCCCCTTCCTCTAGTGCCGCGGCCGCCGCTTTGACGGCAGCTGCTGTCGTTTGCGGCGCTGCGAGGCGCGATGATAGCCGCGAGGCCGGCAGATCCCCGCGAGGGAAGCCTCAAACGGTGGAGGGTGCGTCGCCCCAGTCGTCGTCGGAGGGAGGAGGGAAGCGTGAATCGCACAAGGCCATTGTGGCCCGTCTCCCCGCTGCTGCTCGAGGCCCTTCGGTGGCCACCCCCTCGCCCCCCTCTGGGGCCACTGGAGGAGAAGGAGGTGGATGGGGAGTGTGGCAGAGCCAGCAGCTGGAGCGAGGTGCGAGACGATGCGCGGAGCGCGCGCGTGACCGCCCCCCCTGCCACTGCCGCCCCGCCGCTGGCCACGGGCGCGGCGGCTGCGGCTGACGAGGCCCCCCCCCCGAGGGGCCAGGCCGCCCGAGCGCCTGCTGCGGCCGCTGCTATCGACTGGGATAGGGGCGGGCCGTGCGCGGGGGCCGGAGGTGGGAAAGATCGTTCGCGAGCTGAGTTTCGAGAGTCAGGAGCTGCTCAGTCACCCGTCTTTGAGAACGGGCATGAGCTCCTGACTTGTCCTCCTAACGTTTATTGCAGGCGGTGTGGAGGGGTTGCTCAGAAGCAGAGTCGCCTCTTGTCACAGCCGTGCTCTGGCACTGTTCCTGCCCTGCACTTGCGCAGGGCTCCCGCGGAGCGGGAGCGAGCGAGGCGACGGGGCAACCTCGCGGCTGGGCTCCACCCCTCGGGAAAGCGCTTGGGCTAGGGTCGGGGCCGCTCGCGGGGGTCCCTGTGTCGCCCTAAGAGCTCGTGCAGGCCCTTTTTGACTTTGCTTTCGGCGGTCTGGGGGCCGCTGCTGCGCTCTCTTGCCTCCTTGAGCCTCGAGGGCCCCCTGGCCTCAGTGGCCTTCTGGGCAGGGCTGCGTTCGTTCCACGCGTGATTCGGACGCTGTCCCTTCGGTAGCTCGACACACACACACACACACACGCACACGCGCGCGCACGCACACGGACACACACACACACACACACACACACACGCGCGCCCACGCACACGTGAACATCGCACTGCGGCTGTGTGCGCTTGCTGGCATGTGAGCGCGTTATAGCTGTATAAATGTAGATGCGCATGCCCATGCAGATCTTCGCACGCACACCGTGCCGAAGCATGTCGGCCCCATACGTGCCGAAGCACGTCGGGACGTGCCCCCTTCGATGCGCGTGCGTTTCAGCTTGTTGAAGGAGATCCACGGGGGCGCGTGGAACGCCGTCCGCGCGGCATTTTGGAAGAGGTTCCCGGCTAACAGGATCTCAGACGACGGCGCCCAGATGCCATTGAAGACGGCAGCAGGAGGCATCGCCGGGCTCCGCTTCAAGCTAGGGGACCTGGTCATCGACGGCGACGCTGCATTGCGCGCTCGGAGCAGGGGCGCGCGTGACATGCGTGAACGGCCTCAACGCGCTGGGCCTTCGAGCTCGCGCCCCGCGCCATATCGCCACTGCGGGCTGCTCAGATCCGCGGCTCTTCGTGGCCGCGTCAGACGAGGGCGCGCGGCGACAAACTGATGAGGCGGCGGCGCCGCCGCTCGCGCAGCTCACGGCCGGCCAGATTGCTCGCGGCATCAAGTTCGCACCCCTCGGACTGATCTGCGATCTCGGGCGGAGGCCCCCCTCCCGCCCCATCGCCGCGTCCGCGCACGACGCCGCGCGCATCATGCACGGGGTGGCCTGCTGTCAAGGGGGGGAACCACCCGGGCCCGACAATTGGCGTTTACTGAACGGCCCCGGGGGTTTACTAAACAGCCCTGCCCTGTTTGATTCCTTCTTTGGGTGCGTTTACTAAACGGCTTCGCATGTCGGGGTGGTTATTATCGGGGTGGATCTTCTGCCCTCCATGCTGTGGATTTGGTTTGATGCCAGCGATGCTTGCGACAAGGCTGTTGTCTTGGCATCGCATTCTGGAGCGGATGTCGCCGCGCCGGCAATTCTGCGGCGCCAGCCGGGGGGTCGGCGGCCACGATAGGGGCGAATAGTCCAGGGGCGGGCATTGCACGCATTCGCCCGGGAGCCTTTTCGAAGACATAGATCATCGGCGCACTTGAATACATGTATTGCTCTGCCCTGGGCTATTCGCCCCTATCGTCGCCTCTGAGGGGGGCGCGGCGCAGTCGCGCGTGCGCTGCCGCGAACGGGCATTTAAGAAAAGCAAGGACTTCAACGTTGGAGCGCCCGAGATGACGACGATTGCCCCGATCAGTTGGGTTCTCCTCGCGCGCCCCAGCGCGCCCCATGGGCTTAGTTGCCTCGATGCGCCCGTTTAAAAACGCGACGCGTCCCGTGTTCACTGCGTCCGTATCAATACGTTGCGAGTTGATCAACGTATTGGCCCACGCTTTAACGATCGTATCTCGTCAGACCTACGTTTTCAGTCTGCGTGTTGAGCTCCGTATCAATACGCTACGTGTTGCGTGTTTCATCGGGGCAGGTAAGCCGACGGGCATTCTATTGTTTGCGACGCGAAGCTGCAAAGCCCTTGCCATGATCTACGGCTTCTTGGAGGAGGGGAAGTTCGCGCGCGATGTTGCCGCGGCCGCGGCGGAGCTCAGTCGGTGCTACTCGGGGCGCGCCGCAGCGTTCCAGACAACCTACCCCGCCGCGGCGACGATTCCCAAGGGTCACTTGGGATTCCATTTGACGCCCAGCTCGCGAAATATGGGTTCAGCACCGATTGCTTCGCGGGAGGGCGGCAGAACTGCATCGTGACAGAATGCGCTGAACCAGTCAGAAACACGTTTGGTTTTGAAAAGTAAGTGTTTTCGCGCGTTCTGTCTCGCAGGCATCGGCTCTTTAGGTGACCACGCCTTTTTCTCCGATCGCCTGCGCAGCTCCGAGCCATTCGAGCAGCTAGCTGCGCTCGCCGGCGTTCGGCTTGCCCGCGGGAGCGCCGCGAGTAAACTTTGCGGCGCCCCTCCACAGCGAGGGGCGCCGCCTGGTGCGAGGGCGATGTATTTGTTTTGTCAAGTTGCGCCCGCGGCCTCTCGCTGTAGACTGGCCCCGACAGCGGCGCTAATCTCACTATTGTCTTTGTTATGGGACGACGAATTCGAAGTATTATCATTCTCCTCCTGACGCCGCACATGTTGAGCTTTCTTTAAAGGTGTTGGTTCCACAAGTTGGTTCCCCGTTCCCCCCGCTATTCCAGCGGTTGGCCCACCGCTCCCCCCGCCGCCATCCCAGCGGTTGCGCCGCTCCCGCCCCTCAAGAAAAGGCGGACTTCCATATTCCATGTCAGAATATGTCCCACATCATTTGGTTCATGCAGAACCTGAGTAAATTGTTCGCTTGATGTCTCTGGATGCATGAGAACGTGTATATGTTGGTAAGTAGTGTTTGGATCTAGACGCTGTAGCCAAAGGCGTAACAATGGTAATTGCATCGGCCAAACACTATATCTCTTGCTTGTCAAAGAGAGCGACCGTCCATTTCAGTGGGGAGTGGATCGAGACATCCGCGGTCCGAACCCCAGGGTGAGACAGGGCAGGTTGGCTCTCCCGCCGTGCCCGCCGAAAGAGGGGGGATGAGGCGGCCTCCATCCCCACCAAGAACGGGTCGGTTGGCAGGGCTAACGGAGTCCTCGGTGTCGGTGGGCTTTGATTCGTTCGTCCAGGATGGAGAGCTTCATCCTGAGCCGGTTTTGGCCGCGTGGACGTCAGAGGCGGCCTCAGGGGGCCGAGAATGGGGAGAAAGGTTTGCCCTGATTTTCCAAGACGATGGTGCGCCGCTGGCCCAGGCACCCGACGATATCTCATGTCTTCGCCCGCGCCCTCAGAGCCCCCGCCCTGTCCCCGGAGTTCGTTTTTCATCCAGGATCCCTTCTCGATGGCCCCAGGGCAAGAATGCGGCCCCGAGAGGCCGAAGGTGAAGGAGAAACGCCGAGGCTGACGACAACCATGTCGTCGGACCCGCACTTCCGACGACTCGATTGTTTCGAGTCTCAGGGCCCTGGACCTCTCGACCGTTTCCTTTGGGCCAGCTTTCCGTCCGGAACACTCTTTTGACAACCCCAGGGTCGAAGCCAGCCTCCAGAGGCCAAACGTAGAAAAAACAATCAGGCTCTATATTTTTTGAGTCTCTGACCCAGCCATGCGATGTCTTGTTTTTTCAATGCGGGGTTCCCACAAGTCCGACCCGCTCCCCAAGGCCAGTTTTTTAACCCGAGTCGTTTCTGTTACGGTTCTTGGGCCCACCGAGGGCCCCCACAGGCCGGAGAGCCTCCAAAACCCCCCGCGTCGTGTTTTTTTCTCGGCGCGAGCGCATGTCTGGGAAGGCATCTTCAGGTCTGGGGATACCGCCGTCGAGGGGGCCAGGTCCTGTGAACACCTTCTACGCCTTCCCGGTGGGCTGGGCGGGCGCGTAGGGGCGGCCGCCTCAGACTCGCGCGGGGCGCTGCGGCTTTCACGGTGGGGCACGGCGACGACGACGCCGAGTCTATGGCTTAGATCGTAAGTCACGGAAGCTTCCGCTCGTCTTGCGTTGCATCTGTATCGGAGACTAGCGCTCAGCAGCGCGCGCTCCGGCGCACAATAGCGTTCAACAGCGCGCAATTCTTCTTCATCTTAAATTATAGTATTAGTAATAATAGTATGTTGTGTTGTTATTGATATTTTTTATTTTTTCGATCGTCATAATTATTATCGTTCCGGGCCGATGACAGCCGCCATCGGGGGGGGGCGGGGGGGCCGATGACGTCACGTTTCGCGCCGGCGGCGTCTGGGAATGCTTAGGATTGAACGACGACGGGTAGCAGCATCAGGTAGGTGTTGATCTGCACCGCAGCGCCTGTGTACACCACGCCGACTATGTACACCACAGCAGCCGTGTGCAACGCAGCACCAGTGTGCGTGCCACAGTGCCTGCGTGCACCACAGCGCTGGTGTACACAGCAGCGCCTGCCTACACCACATCAGCCGTGCGCAACGCAGCACCTGTGAACTGCCTGCGTGCACCACAGCGCCTGTGTACACCACGGCGCCAGTGTGCACCACAGCAACCGTGCGCAACAGAGCACCTTTTGTTGCATATCGGAGTTTAGAAGGAATCCTTATGACAAAATGTAGCACCTGTGGATTCCACAGAAAAGATTTTTCGATATAGGGTTTGGAAAGGATTTGTCATGGAAAAAGGAGCGCTGGTGGAATCTACGAGTCCTCCCGAGTTCTCCCGCATCGCCCTAACTCCTCCTATGTGCGACTGGAAGGCTCCGGCAGATTTGGCCGTCCGAGAACCAACTGCGTTGACTCAAATGACCATTCCGCGGTGTACGCTGAGATGCGCACGTGCGCTGCAGCGCCGACCAACACGACTGGGGGAAGGGTGAGTGAGGAGGAGCAGGAAGAGGAAAAGGAGGAGGAGGAGAAGGAGGAGGAGGAGGAGGAGGAGGAGGAGGGAGGAGGGACGAACATCGCATTCGATTACCGGCACATTGCCGGCGTGGTGTTTAGCTGTCCTTCTACCTGTCTTGTCCACGCAGGCGCTGTGGTGTAGACCAGCACTGCGTTGCTCGCGGATGCTGTGGTGTACACAGGCGCCGTGGTGTGCAGAGGCGCTGCGTGCACGCGAGCACTGGTGTGCACAGGCGCTGTGTTGCACATGGTTGCTGCGGTGTACACATTCGCCGTGGTGTACACGCGCGCTGTGGTGCACGCGAGCACTGTGGTGAACACAAGCGCTGCGTTGCGCACTGCTGTTGCGGTGTACACAGGCGCTGTGGTGGACACGCGCGCTGTGGTGCACGCGAACACTGAGGTGTACACAGGCGCTGTAATGCAAATCGCCACCTACATGATGCTCCGTCTTGGCTTCGGTCATGCCTAGGCATTCCTAGACGCCGCTGGCGCGGAACGTAACGTCATCTGGGGGGGGGAGGGCTTGACCAACGCCGGCCGCTATCCCGGAAAATTAAAAAACAGGCTCTAGCGCCCACTAGCGCCCACATGGCTCCCAGTAGCGCCCACTGTGAGCCAGGGAGATGCCCGCTGTGCGCGCTATTAGGCGTGATTGGACGGTCCATTTGGCGCCGACGGGACGGCTGAAAGTTTCCGTGAGTTATTTTCAAACATTGTCGATGTGATTGCGCCGTATTGGTCCGTGGAGGAACCTGGCATCTTCGCGTCGCGAAACAAATCATGACAGACGGCTTGGGGCAAGTTTCGGCCTCTGGGGGCCCTTGCTGGACACCAGAGGCCCGCAAAGATGTTCAGATGTTTTTGGGAGCTAGGTTTCGAAAGAAGCGCGACGTCGGACGTCTGGGAATTACGTGGCGCGTTCCAGGAAGGCCCTCGCCATGGCGCGTCTTGCCCTCGGCGGAAGCCGGTTGGAGTAAACTGGCGGCGGGGTTGGCGGCAGCCGGCGGGAGGCCAGCGAGACGTCAACACGTTACGGTTCGGGGCTTCCGGAGTCGGCCATGTCGATACCGATGCATGCCCTCCTCTCGTGCTTGCTTCTTGGGGCCCCTTGTGGGACCCCAGTCTTCACGGCTGGATGCGCTTCGGGATACTGGCCAGATCGCGCCCCCCGAATGGCCCAGGGAGCAGTGTTCTCGGTATCTGTTTGTTCTCCCCATCGCGCTCGAACGACCCATTGGGAGGATAGGGTCGAGAAGGGGCAAGAGGAGGCGGAGGGAGGTGGGGGATGTTCTTTCGCGCCCAAGGGGGCCGCACCAACGAAGTGGAAGGGGAGGACGGGTGGGAGGGACCAGGAGGATGAGAGGCAGTGGCAGTGTGAGGAGGCCTCCGGAGGTCTCCAGGATTTTCTGGAGGCCCAGCGGCACCCCCAAGCCCTTCCTGGGGCTGAACCCCTGTGGTTCCAGCAAGCAGGCCCCTATGGGCCAGAAAAGCGACTGGGAAAGCTTCCGAGATGACCTTGAGCAGCTCCTCCTTGACTCCTTCACCTTTTTCGCGGTCTCATTCCGCTCGGGCCAGTTCGAGTCGGCTTCCACGATGGCCTTGGCTCGCGTCTCCAGCTCGGCCGAGGATGGCGCCGCCTCCTGGGGCGCCTCTTCCACCGCGGCCTCCTCAGCACACACCCATTCCGCTCGGGCTCCTTCGACGCGGCTTCCACGATGGCCTCGTCTAGCGTCTCCAGCTCGGCAGAGTGTGGCGCCGCCCCCTGGGGCGCTTCCACCGCGGCCTCCTGAGCACCTTACGCTGCCCGAGCGGCTGCACCGGCGGCGTTGTCGCTGCCGCCAACGGCTCCCGCTCGCGCTCGTCCCTCGCGATGCTCTCGCTGAGAATCGCGTCGACGCTTCGAGTAAGGGATGGACTACATAATTGGTTCACACCAGACTTGATGTGCTCGTCGGATCCATGAAGAACGCGCTGAATCTTCGTAGCTCAACGGGCATTGTAAGTCCTGCTTTTTTAGGTTCGGGTGAATCAATTCTGTAGTCGAGCCCCTATTCGAACGCTGAGCTCCTCCGCCTCATCTTCCGCCGCCGCCCCTGTCGCAGCCCCCTGCCAAGGCGCCTTCCTGCGGAGCTGCCGATGCCTCGTCCGCCGATGCCTCCGCCTTCGCTTTCGCCGCCGCTCCTGTCGCAGCCCCTTGCCAAGGCGTCTTCCTGCGGAGCTGCCGATGCCCCCCTCCGCCGCAAGCCACCACTTCGACCCCTAGGGGCCAAGGCCCTTGCCGCCTGTCCGTGGCCCTGCAAGTGTTGCGCGCCTCGTGCCAGCTGCACCAGCTGGAGCTCCTCCGTTTCGGCTCGGTGTGGCACTCGTTGCCCGCCTCCTTGACGACGCCCTCGTCCTCGGCCGTGGGCACGGCATGGCTCAGCAAAGGGCAAGGAGCTCGCTGCCACACCCAGCCCGCTTCCTCCGCCGCGCTCCTCGGCACCTCTTCGCGCTTGGGCACCGCCGCCGCCGCCGCTGGGAGCTCGCCCTGCAGGATCCACTGGTGCAGGAAGATGCCCATGACACCAATATCTTCCTTTACTGCCGAGGCCATCGCTTTGGAAGAATCCGTGGACTTGATATGGGAGCTTCCGAGAACGCGATCAACATGTGAGATTCCTCGCAGCCGCACAACGTCATTAACAGGCCAGTGTCATCGCGCTTCATGCCCCTGGAAAGAGAGATGCCCAGGGCCAGGACGGCCAGGCCCGCCGCCGCCGCCAGCGAGCGGGGCCAGACCGCACAGCCACAGCCGCAGCCGTCGCATCCGCGCCCGCCGCCAGGCAGGACCAAGCGGAGCAAGACGAGGAGGAGGGAAGTGCTCGGGCGCGCGGGCAGACGATTTCGCCGCTCAGGGGAGGAGGAGAGGGACAGGAAGGAGAGGAGCAGGAGGAGCAGGAGGAGGAGGAGGAGAAGTAGCAGTAGTAGTAGTAGTAGTAGTAGTAGTAGTAGTAGTAGTAGTAGTAGTAGTAGTAGTAGTAGTAGTAGTAGTAGTAGTAGTAGTAGTAGTAGTAGTAGTAGTAGTAGTAGTAGTAGTAGTAGTAGTAGTAGTAGTAGTAGTAGTAGTAGTAGTAGTAGTAGTAGTAGTAGTAGTAGTAGTAGTAGTAGTAGTAGTAGTAGTAGTAGTAGTAGTAGTAGTAGTAGTCAGTAGTAGTAGTAGTAGTAGTAGTAGTAGTAGTAGTAGTAGTAGTAGTAGTAGTAGTAGTAGTAGTAGTAGTAGTAGTAGTAGTAGTAGTAGTAGTAGTAGTAGTAGTAGTAGTAGTAGTAGTAGTAGTAGTAGTAGTAGTAGTAGTAGTAGTAGTAGTGTAGTAGTAGTAGTCGTAGTAGTAGTAGTAGTAGTAGTAGTAGTAGTAGTAGTAGTAGTAGTAGTAGTAGTAGTAGTAGTAGTAGTAGTAGTAGCAGTAGTAGTAGTAGTAGTAATAGTAGTAGTAGTAGTAGTAGTGGTGGCCGTAGTGGATGTAGTAGTAGTAGTGGTAGTAGCAGTAGTAGTAGTAGTAGTAGTAGTAGTAGTAGCAGTAGCAGTAGTAGTAGTAGTAGTAGTAGTAGTAGTAGTAGTGGTGGTGGCAGTCGTTTCCGTAGCAGCCGTAGTACCAGCAGTAGTAGCAGTAGTAGTAGTAGTAGTAGTAGTAGTAGCAGCAGTATGAGTAGTAGTAGCAGCAGTAGTAGTAGTAGTAGTCGTCGTCGTCGTCGCAGTCGTAGTCGTAGTCGTAGTAGTAGCCGTAGTAGTCGTAGTCGTAGTAGTAGCAGTAGTAGCAGTAGTAGGAGTAGTAGTAGTGGTGTTAGCAGTAGTAGTAGTCGTATCAGTAGTCGTAGTGGTGGTAGTAGTAGTAGTACTAGTAGTACTAGTAGTTGTGCGGGTAGTAGTAGTAGTCGTAGTAGTAGTAGTAGTAGTAGTAGTAGTAGTAGTAGTAGTCGTAGTAGTAGTAGTAGTAGTAGTCGTAGTAGTAGTGGT